TGCTCGTGAGTCCCAGGCACCTAGTTTAGCCCCCATCTGCGCCGCGCCTAGCAGCGCGGGGGATACGCTCGACGATGAGATCAATCGTGTTTGGTGCATGCCGACAAGTCTGACATCTACCGCTGCTAAATCCTAAAATCGGAAGAAAACAGTATTGCTAATTGCTTTCATCATCTGTAATGTCTCAAAATTGGTCAACGGTCGCTAATATCATCTGCTAGTATCCTCGTCTGCAGAAACGCTCGAAATTGTTGTCAACAGTGACAGTCGGTATTTATCGTCTGCTACTAGTACCGTGTGCAAATGTTGATGTTGACTGTCAAGTAATCCTAGTTTTGCCGTGATTTGTCCCTTGGCAGACAGTCCGTATTTTAGATATAAGCGAACACCGTCGTTCAGATATTTTATGGCCAGAATGTGGCATGCTGCCATTTTGGGGAATGATTCAAAGGAGAGCCGACAATACTTATAATATGAGCAAATTAATGTTCAGATAATGCAATTTTAAGTTGAAACAGTAACTTATCTTTGTAGTTTTATTACTTTTACTAAATTTAATAAGCTTAAAAAAATTATTTTGATGATTTTCTGACACCCTAAATGGCTAAATAATTTTTTCAGATTTTTGCTTTGAAACTGAACAGACAGTGCACTCACTAATCAAACAAATTAATGAAATTCACTGAATGCCATCGCGCTAATGTTCTATTTTTTTAATCTACAACCTTTTTAACTTTTTTTAATGCATAAATTAGAATTTAATATGAGTTATTTTTTTTAGGTATTTTTTATCCGTTGACCCTCACATACAGAATTTCACGCAACATGCATACTCAGCATAGACTTCTTGATATTGCGTATAATTAAGCTAGCAAAGAACTGTCACGATTTTGATTACTTACAGTCTCTGCCGCACAAAAGCCTTGATACTCTGTCGTAGTGAGGTTGATTTTCAGACGTCTTCTCTCATAGCTTGCCTCGTCTGGCCTCTTTCAAACTGCCTAAGTCCGGGTTCCACTGTCTGCATGCAGCTGATCTCTCACAAGTTCACCTCCGCACGGTTTAACGGTTTTCCAGGGCTGCCATTAGGATTTTTTTGAAAAACCCAGCTTTGCTAAACAAAAACCCAAGAAATACATAGACAAAGAACAAGAAAACAAAATAAAAAACCCAGATTGTTAAAAAAAAACAAAATCTATAGTTACGAACGAAACACTTACCACTTTATATAAGGTTATATTTTTAAAAAAAAAAACAGATTTCCCCGAGGCGTCAAATAAAAAAAATCTGGGGGGAAAACCCAAGCATTGGCACCCCTGGGTTTTTCTGCCCGTGATTTTGATTTCTGCAAAGGGTGATAACTCCTTGTCATGATGGCGTCGGATGAATTGTTTGTTGGTAAACTTTGTTTTGCTTACAGCTTGTCGCTTTCTGCTACACACCTCGGCCTAGTTATGGTTTCATCTATGTCCAGCCATCTGTTGCTGGCATGGCCATGCCAATACCGATTAGGTTTTAGCTATTTGCGCCTCGTTTACACTGCAGTGATTTTAGATAAATAAAATATATTTACTTAGTTAAATTTTTGTTGTTGCTTCCACTTCCACAAATGTAGGTACTTCAGTCAAATTTTTAAAATGCCCTCTACACCAATAAAACCAGCACAGTTAGATAGCTGTAAACAATCTCTTTCCAATGGTACCTCATTTAGGCTTGTATGTCATTTCTGAGCTGAGATATGTAGGTTTTTGTGGAGATGAGATGTAAGAAACAGCCGCTAAAACTTGTGACCCAGAAACAAGAAGTTTTTCACTGCGCAACCTACTGCGCAGTTCTGTATCGGCTTTGTTGACATTGGACTGTCATTGGACAAGATGGCAGGCAGTGAGACTCAGCTCACTCAGCCGCATGCGATTGCCTAAAAAATGTCACTGTAAATCTAAACAGCCAGAGTCGGTAAAAAAAAATTTAATATGCAAATGTAAAATTGGACGGAGAATTCAACTGTAACTAGCATTACCACAACTGGTAATGTTTAAGGCCTAAAGCCAACCTCGAATTTACCGCTATTTTCAATCAAACTGATGACTAACAGAAAAACAGAGGAGTCCGGCTGTCGTAGACATGCGCTGTTAATCGGGTTCCCCCACGCTGTTTTCAGCTATTTATAGCTGGTCCAAATTCCCACCAATGGCAAAATTTCATGAGAGATTTGGACCCATACGGAAACCAGCCGAGATTTCCCGAACAAGTTCTGAACGGTTTCCGGGTAACGGAACTTGCCGAAAAGACCGCAAATTGTCGAAACTGTAGTCCCTAACAAATGCCAATCAATACCGTTTTGATACGTTTATAGAAAATAAACTATGAAATCATAACAAAAAAGCAGACCCACCCACCGACAATGGATGTCGGGTTACTTAGCAATAAGTTAGTAACCAACAAGGCAGATGTGGCCAAGGCCCTTTGGAAACAAGCAACGGAACCAGTAGAGAAAGAAGATTATTATGACCTGGAGAGAATCATGAGGCACTTGAGTGTAACCAGAGGGTCTGGTCGACTTACTGCACTCAGAGGAAAGGCAAGACGGACATTTAACCAGGTTATGACTGGTACCATTAGTATTGGAACTCTGTGCTGGCTGCTGAAGATGATGACGGAGCATGCATGGGAATGGCTCGAGTGCTGTGATGTCAGTTCTTGATTTGACTCAACTCAGCAACTGTTTTATGTTGCCCCAATATAGCTGTTGGTAACTGTTTTATGGTCCCTCAGTATACCTGTGCTGTATGGTTGAACAGGATTTCCAGGATTCTTAGCTCTTTTATTAATATTCTAATCCGGCTATCCCCCAAATAACGGGCACAAAAGATAGCGGCCGCAAAAAGATCCTAACAGAGCCTCAGTTACTTGTCAATTGCTCACTTACGGCGACCTAATGTGCGGTTTTCCTGTGACTATCGCCACCGCCGAGAGTACTCCCCACGCCGCTCACGCGTGTGGATTGGGGCTAAACTAGATGGCTGGGACTCAGAGCAGCAGCTTCCACATCTCCTGCAGCTTTGCTCATGAGTCCCAGCCATCTAGTTCAGCCCCAATCCACGCAGCGTGCGGAGTACTCTCGGCGGTGGCGGGAATCGCCGGAAAACCGCACGTTAGGTCGCCAGAAGTACGCAATTGACACGTGACTGAGCCCCTGTATTTAGCCGGCATTGGCCGCCATATTTTGTGCGCGTTATTTGGAGGATAGCCTCTGATCCTTGAGATAATTCTACAGACTGCAATCTCTGAATAATTTTTTATTTTGAATCTAAATACTGTTTACCTTAACTAGGGAATTTATTTCTCATACTAGAGTAATGTTAAAGCATCTGTGGCTTAGGTGTTGCGAACGCACTTCATAATGACAGGGTGACGGGTTCAATCCCAGCTGCATGCTCTGTGCCTTGCTTTGGTTTCTACAGTGGTATCAAGAAGCCGACCGGTCAGAAAGCAATGGCAAACTACTGAACATATTTTTACCTAGAAAAACCACAGCAAACAAATGCTGGGGCTAGTTCTGCACTGTCCTGTAAAGGATACACAACTAACTTTTATGTTAAAGCAGCAGACCTTGTGATATTTTTGTCAGATTTGAAAAGTAAACTTAATCAAGCTGACAGGACAAAATGAAATGTAACTTATACATTATTGTTTTCCCGTCTCTCTAGTGTAGTTGGCTAAACCGGATTGCACATTAAGCGAGTGAGGAACTCTTTGTGGTCTGGGTTCACTCCCGGGGGTGGGCAGAAAAGCCACATTTTTCCCAGATTTACGATATTTAAAATGGAATCAAGGCCGAAAGGTTGCGATATCCATAATACTGAGCCTAAGGGTGAACAACTCATGGCTTCTGGATACTAAAACAAAAAAACATACTTTATTGTTTTGAGAGTTTTTTGTTGTTATACATTTCTGTTTCAAATAATAATTTTTTTTTATGTGCTAAATAGAATGATTGGAATGTTGGGCTGAAGTTTTTTTCTTGTTGAAAGACCTGGGATAAAATCCTTGGTAACTTGATATTTTTTTGTTTAAATCCATGGCAACAACAAAAGCTAATGGTGGACGGATATGATAGCCTTCTTTTTCTTTACATTCACTGGCTGTACACTCCAGTGGAAAGTTCTGGTTATTCGTCCACTTATGGACTTTAGTCTTGTTCCAGAACTTTACTTTTGCATGCACATTGATGTTACAGATCTGGTTTATGTTACATGGGCGACTCCTGAGTGGGGATTTTACAAAGATCACTGTCCTGGGTATGAATGTTACATGGGCCACTCCTTAGTGTAAATGTTACATGGGTGACTCATGAGTGTGAATGTTACATGGGCCACTTCTGAGTGTAAATGTTACATGGGTGACTCCTGAGTGCGGATGTTACACAAGCCACTTCTGAGTGTAAATGTAACACGGGGGACTCCTGAGTGTGGATGTTACACGGGCCACTTCTGAGTGTAAATGTTACATTGGTGACTCCTGAGTGTGGATGTTACACAGGCCACCTCTGAATGCAAATGTTACATGGGTGACTCCTGAGTGTGGATGTTACATGGGCCACTTCTGAGTGTAAATTTAACACGGGTGAGTCCTAAGTGTGGATGTTACATGGGCCACTTCTGAGTGTAAATGTTACATTGGTGACTCCTGAGTGTGGATGTTACATGGGCCACCTCTGAGTGCAAATGTTACATGGGTGATTCCTGAGTTTGGATGTTACATGGGCCACTTCTGAGTGTAAATGTTACATGGGTGACTCCTGAGTGTGGATGTTACATGGGCCACTTCTGAGTGTAAATGTTACATGGGCGACTCCTGAGTGTGGATGTTACAAAGATCACTGTCATGGGTGTGAGTGTAACTTGAGTTTACTGTCCTGAATGTGGGTGCTTCATGTTTTGCTTTCTATTCTCTAGATCTGCAATGTTTGGACTTGTTGCTGATGAACAACTAACATCATGGAGAAAGCATCTCGGGGGGAGCTTCTGGAAACAATAAATGCACAGAAAGAGCAGCTGAAACAGTACAAAGCTAAACTGAGAGGTTTGTAGGGGATGTCAAGAGTTGCCAGTTGCTACTGGAGATTCTCATGTGTGTTCTAGGGTCCCGAAAAAAGAACTACTACCTTCCTAACAAGCATTTTGTAAGAGTCGACTAATTAGGGGTTTTCTTAAAAGTTGGAGTGCATCTGCCTGAGAGGCAAGGAACCAACAGTTTGCATGCAAGTAGTAACCCAGATCTGTAAAAGGGATATGCACACAAAACTCAAGTTCCAGAACTAGCGGTCCTGAAGTGGATAACACCAAGAACTTTTTGCTTAAGTTTGGAGCCTGCGAATGGAAAAAAGAAGAAAAGGTATTGGAGAAAATATCTAAATATGATTGATTGTTAGTTATTTGACAGATTGTCCTCACTTCATGTGAAAATTTTCAGTCCATAAGTGCTGGGATCCCCTGCTTGGTATTATAGCTTGACATTAACATAAAACATGGTATTATAGCTTGACATTAACATAAAACATGGTATTATATCTGGACATGACCATAAGACATTATATTATTTCTTGACATGAAAAAAAATACATGATATTATATAAAGACATGAACATAGACAGAGTATTACATCTCATGAACATAGATATGATATTATATTAGGGCATAAAATAGACATATTGCATCTTGCCATGAACATAGACATATTATCGCATTTTGAAAAATTAACTTCTTTCTCTGTAAAGATGTTGTGGCAGCTTACAAGAGTGTCATTAAGGAGAAGGAAGCCCTTGAGGCCAGTTTGGCTGCCTTGAATTCAGGTAGTAGTCATGGTAACATAGATGAGAGAGAGACTGGAAACTGTGAACACTCTTCAGTGGAAGGAGGTAGCAAAGTCGATGAAGAAGATCCTCTTGGAATAAATAAACAGGTTTAGTCTGTGTTGTTTGTCTTTTGTGTACTGGATTTATTTACAGTGTTGAGATCTGGTTAGAACTGTGATAGAGGATGAAAATCTGTTTGCCTCTGTGCCAGTCCCAACCTACATGTGTCAATCATGGGCAATGACATCAACTCACAGAAGCCAGCTTCAGGCCTCAGAAATGAGATGTCTGAAAAAAAAGCAGTCCAAGTGACAAGAAAGGAAAAAGTTTGCAATCAGACAATACGTCAGGATTTTGAAAACTAGACCTTACAAACTCGAGTGGATCTGTCACAGTTATGATGGTTTAGATGTGTATGCTGAATGGCAGAAAATCTGCACACAATGGCAGGCATGGGAGGCTAAGAACCAGAGAAGCAGGCTTCCAGGGTGACCCAAGTCCACTGGGAAGACAACATCCAAAAGTCCCTAAGTGACAGAGGACTGGAATAGAACAAAGCCAGAAAGAAAACTGCTGACAGAGCAGTCTGCGATCTCTCTGGCAAACCTCTACATCCCAAGGTAGAAAATGAGCGACTAAATAAGTAAGTAGAGAGTGTACATAGGTGCATATGGGGTGAGTGAAACTATTATTACTTAAAAATGAGCATTATTCTGTGAAGCTATATAGAGCCAGTTCATAAGTTTGGAAAACAATCAAACAATTATAAGATTTCTGAGAAATTATTTACAAGCTGTTGAGTTGTTCTATAGATGTATTAAAGAGTGCAGCAAAATTGTTTACCATTGGTCTGCCATTAGGTTTTTTCTTACACTCCCAAGGTATTGAAGGAGAGGTTAAATTAGAGCATATAGTTCAATCACATCCCAGGGTAAAAGAGGAAAGACAGGAGCTGGAATAGCAATCCACATTGAGGCAATTTTTAATGTTGATAATTAGCCTTGGCATCCAGGTGGAGCTGGTATCAAATGGGTATAGGTAATGTATTGGGAAGTAAAGGTGGCCGGCATGATGTTGACCACATCACCTACTGAGTGCCGATTGGTCTAGCACCATATGTCAGTGCACCACTGGCTTGAAAAGGGTTTTTTTGCCACCGCCACATCCATTACTCTCGAGGTAGAATAAAGAAGGTATGTTTCTGAACAGTGATTATTTGCAAAGTCTTTATGTGTGTATGACTTTGTGTTAATTATCTCTCTGATAAAGGAAGGGAAAGATGAAGTCAGGGCTTTGAAGGAACAAGTGAAAACCCTCAGCTCCTCACTGACAACTTTAACACAGGAGAAGAATAAGATTGAGGCCAACTTTATTGCAGAGAGGAAACGTCTAAGGGTATGTTTCTCACATTTGTCTTCTTCTTTTTCGCGCTCATCAGCTGTAAACTCCGGTGGAAAGTTTTGGTTGTTTGTCCACTTGTGGACTAATGTCTTTTTCTCCACAATCTGATTGTTGCATGTGTATTAGATCTGACTTATTTGTATGCAGACTGTTGGTTCCTTGCCTCTCAAGAAGATGCACTCCTACTTCGGAGAAAGCTTCTAATTAATCGACTCCTATGACATGCTTTTGTGTAGGCAGTGGGTCTATTCTTGTTTTCCTCTCAATGGGGCCCCAAAACCCCTGCCGGGATCTCAAGTTTGTATGCTCCTTCTTTTTATTCATCGTTCAGCCAGGTGACGTGATTTACAGTGTACCTGTTTACAGTATAGCTACGATATTTGCACATTTCAGCTAACACATCCAACTTCAGCAGGCGTTTGTTGACTGTGTTTTCCCTCCCAGTTGTTTCCTGGGACATGACAAAGCTGATGAGAGCCTGAGAGTTTCAGGACATTGCATCTCTGAGAGCCGCATTTGTATTCTACTGGTGTCTATATAGTGGGTGGGTGTGTGTGTGTTTGGGAAATGGAGTGAGTGTGTGAGGAATAGAAGTAGAGTGGAGTCAGTGCTACAGGTGTAGGAATGTGGAGTAGCTGAGGGCAACACAGGAGACAACAGGCTGAGCAGACAAGATTACTTATGCCATACACATGGGCACCAGGATATATAGGAAGTAAAGGTGGTTGGCATGGTGTTCACCCCATCAAGGGCTGGTTATCCCTGTGTGGGTTCCGGGGCCCTATTGTGGGGAAAACGAGAATAGACCGACTGCTGGCCTCATGAGCATGTTGTTGTAAAATTAAAGTAAAGATTCCTTTTAAGCGTATTAGTCATATGGGGAGAGCACCCATATGTTTTACAGACTAATCGGCACTTGGTGGGTAATGTGGTCAGCATTATGCCGGCCGTCTTTACTTGCCCAGGACATACATCCTGGTACCCATTTTAGTCGACCTGCGACGCCCCATACCATGATACAAATCCACGCAGCCAGTAGTGGGTTTCGATCGCGGTGCGCTGTAATTATGAGTCGGACTCGCAGGGCTTGAGCGATGGAAGCCGCTGGGCATTTTGTACGAGTCGACTAATTGGTGGCTTTCTTCGAAGTCAGAATGCATCTGCCTGAGAGGCAAGAAACCAACTGTCTCTATACAAATAAGTCAGATCTGTAAAACAGATGTGCACGCAGCACTTAGGTTCTGGAACAAGACTAAAACCCTGAGGTAGACAAACAGTCCAAACTTTCTGCAGGAGTTTACAGCTGGTGAGTGCGAAGAAGACGAAGAGTGCTGGTTGGTGTCTCAAATTGTAAATCTAGCATCATATGGCTGACGTGCCACCGGTGGGAAAAGAGTCCTTTACTTTACACAGCATGGACTATAAAAACAGGAAAGCCCTGTGTAGTAGCAAATTTTCCAGCCCCCACATTGAACAGCCGGTTACTTCTTAATCATAGTTAAAAGTTCAAGGCCGAAGGGTTGTGATATCCATATTACCGGGTTAACAACTCATATTAAAGGGTTAACAACTCATGGTTTCTGGATACTTAAAAAACCATTCATGAGCAATTACGGTAGGGCTGTTTTATATGCTTGAACGAGGTTCCTGTGGATTGCTTATGTTTGTTTCTTATTCTTGAGATGACCGGGTATCCTTAAATACACAGAACGTGCTGAGCTACTTTGTGTATGTTGACCAACATGGAATGTGATAGGGAGATATTGGAGGCTGATTAACGGGATGTTATTCAGTGATACTTCAATAAATGGCTTGAATAGCAGACGGGAAGTCTGGATTCTTCCACCAAGTGGTGCATCTGCCTTGTGTCCTCCGGTGGCGCATTTGCCTTGTGTCCTCCGGTGGTGGGGTCTTTTAGAGGAAGAACCATCAGAGGATTGTCACTGCACATCACATAGGTGTTCTGTATGATCAGATGGTGGGTCGCTTGTAGCAGGCACCTGGTGCATAGTTAGCTGAAGTGTATTGTCAGTTTTTGGAGAGATTGCCAATGTGAGTATTGTGAAGGCAGTAACAGACTTGAAAGTGAGTCATTGATTACCAATTCATCTTTGTTGCAATGTGTTTGTCTATAATAAAGAGACTGATTGCACTGGGAGATCATATATGGCATGGTTTAGTATATTACAGCTTGTAGGCAGTGTTAGTAGTTACAATAGGACATGTTAGCTTGTGCCTGGCTTATTGGGGTGCCCTTGTTTGGGTTGGCCCTCCTTTACTCCAGTTATAATCACCATCAGCGTGTGTCATGCCAAGGAAAGTGGACTTGTTTATGGCATTGTTTATGGCTAGAGGGAATCCAGTGTGTATTTGTGGAGGACTGACATGTATAAACATGAGCCCCTTAGATATATGGCAAGCATGCAGTACATTCCTGACCGTGACAAGGTGTTTTTCTTATGGACAGTAATCTTGTAGGTAAGCAGTGACCACTTTCAGCAGTAGCAGTTTACCCCACACAGGTAAACGTGGAGCAATTGACATTACACTTCACTCTTACGGTACCAGAGGGTGCTCAAGGAGGGATAGCCAAAAGATTTGGCAGGAGATGTTCAAGGAGGGGCGGCCAGAAGGTTTGGCAGGAGATGCTTAAGGAGGGATGGCCAGAAGGTTTGGCAGGAGATGCTCAAGGAGGGTTGGCTAGAAGGTTTGGCAGGAGATGCTCAAGCAGGCACGGCCAGAAGGTTTATTAGGAGATGCTAAACGAAGTACGGGAAAAAGCTATTACAAAGCCACAAGTGCATCAGTTTCACTGAGACTGACTTTGGATTGGAAGTGGCCAGATGTTTAAATATACTGTAACCAGATATAAATAAATAAACACATAACGCTGTGGTTGGAATTCAAGAGGTCATAACACCCCATGTGTTATTTTGAACTCAAAAAGGTCACTGTGGATGTTGAAAAAATGCAGAATTGCTATTTATGATTCACACAAATATGTGTGTCGACATGTTGGTCTCTCCAAATATCTCAGTGGCATTTGTGTCATGGATTTTTCTGTGATTAAATCTCTCATTAATTTCAACAGCATGAACATGAAGAGCTGCTGGCCCAAGTTGCTGATGAGAAAAACCGGGCTCTGAAACGAGTTGAGGGATTTGAACTCCAGATCTCGGATGTGAGTATGTCTAGTTGTTCTTATATTTCATAGATGCTGCATGGTAAGGAATCAATTTAGAGGATCCTCGTGGGATTCTGGGCTCAGTTTTGGAGAACAAAAAATATTCACTAACTCCCGAACAAGTATATTGTACAAGGTTGCTGATTAGGAGAGTTTCCTTCAAAGTTGGATTGCATCTGCCTGGGAGGTTGTGTGAACTCTCCTTGTTTCTTATGTTTATGTTTAATTAAACAGTCTTAGTGTGAACTCTCCTTGTTTCTTATGTTTATGTTTAATTAAACAGTCTTAGTGTGAACTCTCCTAGTTTCCTTTTTTTAAAATAAATTAAGCAATCATCATGTAAGCTCTCTTGTTTCCCATGTTTTTGTTGGATTCCACAAACTTATTGTAAACTATCCTTGTTTTGTATGTTTGTTTAATGAAATAATCTTTGTTTGCACTCTCCTTGTTTCCTGTGTTTATGTTTAATTAAACAATCTTTGTGTGAACTCTCCTTGTTTCCTGTGTTTATGTTTAATTAAACAATCTTTGTGTGAACTCTCCTTGTTTCCTGTGTTTATGTTTAATTAAACAATCTTTGTGTGAACTCTCCTTGTTTCCTGTGTTTATGTTTAATTAAACAATCTTTGTGTGAACTCTCCTTGTTTCCTGTGTGTTTATGTTTAATTAAACAATCTTTGTGTGAACTCTCCTTGTTTCCTGTGTTTATGTTTAATTAAACAATCTTTGTGTGAACTCTCCTTGTTTCCTGTGTTTATGTTTAATTAAACAATATTTGTGTGAACTCTCCTTGTTTCCTATGTTTATGTTTAATTCAAAAATCTTTGTTTGAACTCTCATTGTTTCGTATGTTTGTTTAATTGAAAAATCTTTGTGTGAACTCTCCTTGTTTCCCGTGTTTATGTTTATTTAAACAATATTTGTGTGAACTCTCCTTGTTTCCTATGTTTATGTTTAATTCAACAATCTTTGTTTGAACTCTCGCTGTTTCGTATGTTTGTTTAATTGAAAAATCTTTGTGTGAACTCTCCTTGTTTCCTGTGTTAGTCAGTGGGATTTTAATGTCATCAGAGTAGTTGAAGAGTCGTATGGGTGGTACAGTGGAACCTCGCTTAATGAGCATAATTCGTTCTAGAATCATACTTGTTAAGCGAAACACTCGTTATGCGAAACAGTTTTTCTCATATAAATTAATGTAAAATGCGATAATGCGTTCCACGTCGAAAAAAAAATACTAAAAAAATGCTGTGTATAATGTTTGTTCAAAGAAAATTAATATATATATTTTATTTCTTCAAACGATGAACGAACCCACCTGGAATGCGAATTCGATTTGCAGAAAACAAAAAACAAAAAGTGGGAATAATTATTATTTATAGCTAATTATGTTTTTACTAGAAAGATTTCCAGAGACATTTGTTTTTGCCGAAGCTTCAAAATTTGGCGAAAATGCAACACAGTATTATCATTAAATAAATTTGCAGGGCGCATAGCCACTTCCTTATTAGGGTGATGCTTCTCAATGTAAAATGCAACAGTTTGCCATGCATTCAGCATTTCTCTTATTTCGCCAGAGAATTGTTGCTTTTCTGTTACCTCCTCCTCCTTCTCTGACAAACTTTCCTCCAAAACTTCTTGCTGTGAAACACAATGCAACTCTATAAACTCTTGGGTGGTCAGCTCTTGGCTGTGTGGCTGTGCTCTTCCACAAGCTCTTAGATATCACTGTTATTCACCTACAATCCCATGATAGTGGCCAAAGACACAATCTAGTTGACTACAGGTTCCACAGGTACTGTCTCGAACCCCTTATAGTCACAAATCGACAACGCTCTCCAGCCAAAGCTTCTTCCGAGCAGAAGTTAGGGTTTTCTTGGCAACCCCTTCCCCCACCTTGTCTGTCATCTTGAGGCAGGCAACGATATGGAAGTGATTTTTCCAAAACTCTTTGAGAGTGAGGTTGGTCCCTTCACTCACCTGAAAACAATGCTCGAAGAGTGCTTTAGTGTAGAGCTTCTTAAAGTCAGAAATAACTTCCTGGTCCATGGGCTGGAGTAACGGAGTGGTGTCTTGAGGCAGAGACTGGATCTTGAACTTAAATTCTTCAGGGAGGTCATCTTGTAGGCCTGGAGGATACATGTACATATATCACAATATAACACAAGTTTGAGAAAATATAGGATCACAAGCGAGACAACGATGCTACTGGAACGCGAGTGCTAAACACAGACTGATATAACATGCGCACAAGCCGGGACTTCCACTCTCCTCGCCACTCGTTATGCGAAACGTTGCTCGTTAAGCGAGTCATTCTTTTACAATTTGTTTTGCTCGTTATGCGAATTACTCGTTATGAGAGGTGCTCATTAAGCAAGGTTCTACTGTATTTCAGTTTCATTACAGAACTTGAAGAGTCCTATCATTAGTTTTCTAATTCATCACAGCACTTGGAGAGTCCTATCATTAGTATTCTAATTCATCATAGCACTTGAAGAGTCATATCATTCGTATTCTAATTCATCATAGCACTTGAAGAGTCATATCATTCATATTCTAATTCATCATAGCACTTGAAGAGTCATATCATTTGTATTATAATTCATCATAGCACTTGAAGAGTCATATGATTTGTATTCTAACTCATCATAGCACTTGAAAAGCCTTTCATTAGTATTCTAATTCATCATAGCACTTGAAGAGGACCTCAGTGGCTTAACTAATATAATCGTAGCTGTTGGAGAGTATCAGTGGTATTTCATTTCATCATACTTCTTGTTTGTTCCCCATTTTGGTGGTGGGAGTTGGGGAGGGAGGGAAAGAATAGACTAGCTGCCCTGTAAACGATCTTATTTGGAATGTAAAAGGTGACTTATTAAGATTGTTTCCTTCATAGTGGGAGTGCATCAGCCTAAAAGGGGAGGAACCAACAGTCTGCATACAAATAAGCCTGATGTTTGTAAGACGTATGTGCATGCAAAACTACTCAAGTTCTGGAACAAGATCAAAGTCCAGAAGTGGACCAACAGAAACAAGAAGAAAATGTTGTCCTAGTAGTTGAAGAGTTGTATCAGTGATATTCAACTTCCATTATTAGTTTGGGAAATCTATCATTGTTATTTAAATTTAATCTTTGCAGTTGAAGAGTCGCATCCGAACCCTGCAGCTAGAGAGAGAGAGGGAACAGACAGACCATGCTCTGATGCTGAGAGAGCTGCAGATGCTGCTGGCCAAGGAGAGGAGCAGTAGGGAGGCAGTTGAAGCTGAGGTTGTTGCCAGCCTGGTTGCTGAGTTATATCTTATTGTTGTGTTGTTTATGGCTTGTTAAACTTCAGGTGCAGATCTTGTCAGATCTAATTATATCTTATTGTTGTGTTATTTATGGCTTGTTGTTAATCTTCAGGTGCAGATCTTGTCAGATCTAATTATATCTTATTGTTGTGTTATTTATGGCTTGTTAAACTTCAGGTGGAGGACTTGTCAGATCTAATTATATCTTATTGTTGTGTTATTTATGGCTTGTTGTTAAACTTCAGTTGGAGGACTTGTCAGATCTAATTATATCTTATTGTTGTGTTATTTATGGCTTGTTAATCTTCAGGTGCAGATCTTGTCAGATCTAAGTTATATCTTATTGTTGTGTTATTTATGGCTTGTTAAACTTCAGGTGGAGGACTTGTCAGATCTAATTATATCTTTTGTTGTGTTATTTATGGCTTGTTGTTAATCTTCAGGTGCAGATCTTGTCAGATCTAATTATATCTTATTGTTGTGTTATTTATGGCTTGTTAAACTTCAGGTGGAGGACTTGTCAGATCTAATTATATCTTATTGTTGTGTTATTTATGGCTTGTTAAACTTCAGGTGGACATCTTGTCACATAAAGGATTTGTCCAGGTGGGAGACATGTCCAGTGGGTATTTGTTCTTATGGGAGACTTGCCAATAAGAATTTAGGTAAATGGGAGGCTCTTCCAGCAAGTATTTGGATGAGTCTGATTAGAATTTTGACCCGTGGAAGGCTCATCAAATTTTGACAGGTGGGAGATTCATCCAACAAAATTTGGACAGTTGGGAGATTCATCCAAAAAAATTTTGGATAGGTGGGAGACTCGCCCAATAAGAATTTAGGCAAGTAGGATGCTCATCAGATTTAGGCAGTCATGAGTCTCTTCCAGTAGGAATTTTCTTTGTGCAACACTCTCCGTAGGCAGCTTAGCATTCTGCAGAGAGCCCAAAACAAATAGGATGAAACCTGGTGCAATGAAGTTGATCCTCTTAACAGCTTTCCTGTCATTGAGCCATTGTGGTTTTGTGGCTGGACACTCGCCTATGGATCCAAAAGTTGTGGGATCCAGTCACGACAGAGCCTGTTTTTTTTTCCCCTTTAGAAACGACCTTGACTCCCAAGTTGACCCTAGCCTTGAATGAGCAGAGGTGGCCGACATGACATTAACTACATCACCTACCGAGTGCCGATTGGTCTATAAAATATAGGTCTAGCCCTATATACCCAGTACGCCTGAAGACGATGAAAGGGGTACTTGACTTTCCTGTTGTTGGTGTCTTTGCAGCTGGAAGAATCCCAGCATGCTCTTAGAGAAAGCCAGCAGAAGTCACATGATGAGCCGGTTGTCTCCGAAGTCTACGAGCGGCAGATTCAGCAGCTGCAGAAAGAGCTGGTCACTGTCCGAGATCGACTGAAGGCAGCAGAGAATAAAGCTAATCAGCCATCACCATTTGTTCTTGAGCTTCAGAAGGAAATGACTAATATGAAGGTACAAATGTTGTAATCTTCTTTTCTTCTGTGTTTGTCCTTAAAAGAGCTGTTGGCACATTATGTTGCGGTCTACAGCTAGGCTGTGATATCTTCACCATTCACGTTGTTGATAAGATTGTGCCTTCAGGTTAATTTACCACAACCTGAACAGACTTTTGCTAAAAGTGATTGAGGCTGCATCAATAAAATGATGTTATGTAAACAGAAAGATCACATGATTAATTTGAACCATGGTAATCACGTGACTGAAATTTGAATTTCGGGTGGATAGATGTACAGCAACTTGATAATGTGATTTATGCTTTAGAGCAAGAAAGGGATTAACTTCGTGCTTCATTTTATGTTGATTTAACTCTGTAGTAATGCAACTGACGAGATACTGCAAAATATGCCAGGTAATAAATTGTGCAATTTATTGTTTGTGACCGCATTATTTGAATTTACAGTGGGAAACATTGTTTTGAATTTTAAGAATGTTTATATAAAGAATATATATTATAAGCGTCTGTGGCTTAGGCGTTGCATATGCGCTTCGTAATGCTGGGGTGCCAGGTTCGATCCCAGCTGGGGGCCTTGCGTTGGTTTTGACAGTGGTATCGAGAAGCCGACCATCCAGAAAACAGTGGCAAATTACTGGACATAAATTTTCCTTAAAAAACCATAACAGCCAAAATATGTTGGTTCTGCAATGTTCTGTAAAGGATATTCAACTAACTTTATAATTGGCTTATATGTTCTTCTTCCTCTGCACTCTATCCCCAAGTGGAGCTCAGGACTGGTGGTACGTCAAAGGTCTACCAAATATCCACCAGCATGGTTGCGTCAGTCCACCTCCAACAGGGAAGTTAGAAAGATACATACATAGATGATTTTTGATAGGGCGAACCTGCCTATCATCAACACGATACTGAAGAATTGTCAGCTGCTTTAGGCTGGTCACCTAACATGCACGCAAATATGGATTTGTCCAGTAAGAATTGGGCCAGGTCGGAGACCGTTCCATCACTGTTCCATTTTCTCTGCCCACAGACTGACCATCAGTTGTGGTCAGTTGGTCATCTCTGTTCCATATTCTCTGCCCACAGACTGACCAACATTTATGTGCAGTTGGTCATCGTTGTTCTATATTCTGTGCCCACAGACTGACTACCAGATGTGGTCAGTTGGTCATCACTGTTCCAAATTCTTTGCCCACAGACTGACCATCAGTTGTGGGTAGTTGATCATCACTGTTCCATATTCTCTGCCCACAGACTGACCATCAGTTGGTAATCACTGTTCCATATTTTCTGCCCAAAGACTGACCATCAGATGTGGTCAATTGGTCATCTCTGTTCCATATACAGACTGACCATCAGTTGGTTATCACTGTTCCATATTCTCTGCCCATAGACTGACTACCAGTTGTGGATAGTTGGTCATCACTGTTCCATATTCTCCCCACAGACTGACCATCAGTTATGGGCAGTTGGTCATCACTGTTCCATATTCTCTGCTCACAGACTGACTACCAGTTGCAAGTAGAAAAGGAGCAGAGGAAAGCTGCTGAGGCTGAAAGCCGACTTGGAGTCCAGGCCAAGCAGAGCGAGGAGCGAGTGTCCAGTCTGGAGGCCAAACTCTCAGAGTTATCTGTTGTGGTCGGCAACTATGAACGACTGAGATTTCAGGATCAGCAGGCAATCAAGTAAGTTGCTTTGATGTGAAGTGACCAGTGAGATGTGAAGTGACCAGTGAGATGGGGAGTGACCAGTGAGATGTGAAGTCACCAGTGAGATGGGGAGTGACAAGTGAGATGTGAAGTGACAAGTGAGATGGGGAGTGACCAGTGAGATGGGTAGTGACCAGTGAGATGAGAAGTGACAAGTGAGATGTGAAGTGACAAGTGAGATGGGGAGTGACCAGTGAGATGGGGAGTGACCAGTGAGATGTGAAGTCACCAGTGAGATGGGGAGTGACAAGTGAGATGTGAAGTGACAAGTGAGATGGGGAGTGACAAGTGAGATGGGGAGTGACCAGTGAGATGTGAAGTGACAAGTGAGATGGGGAGTGACCAGTGAGATGGGGAGTGACCAGTGAGATGGGGAGTGACTAGTGAGATGGGGAGTGACCAGTGAGATGTGAAGTGACAAGTGAGATGGGGAGTGATCAGTGAGATGGGGAGTGACCAGTGAGATGGGGAGTGATCAGTGAGATGTGAAGTGATCAGTGAGATGGGGAGTAACAAGTGAGATGTGAAGTGTTAAGTGAGATGGGGAGTGATCAGTGAGATGGGGAGTTACCATGAGATTAGGAGTGACCAGTGAGGTGTGAAGTGACCCATCTTCATTTTTCTTTTTCTTTTCTTTGCATTTACCGGCTGTAAACTCCGGTTGAATGTTTTGATTCTTTATCTGCTTCTGGACTTTAGTAAATTTTTAGACCTTCATTTTTGTGTTCATATCCACTTTACAGATCTTTTTCATTTGTATGCAGACTGTTGTTTCCTTGCATCTAAGGCAGATGCACTCCGACTTTCAATGAAATGCCACTGATTAGTTGGCTCTTATGACATGCGTGTTAGAGGACAATGGGTGTGCATCACTCAGGGGAAAACAGGCAGACTTTTATTCATGTTGCAACTGGTAGTATTGTCATGTCAACTCTTCGTTGGCTATTGATGACGGGGATGGAGCACATGTGGGAATGTCACCAGTGCAGTGTATCACTCCTTCATTCATTCATAGAACTGGTACTATTAGCCATCGGACGTTGGGGTTCATACTGAGGGGAGGATCTGAGCACCTATGGACATGTCCGGAGTGCAATGACGATAACCCAACTAACTAACTAACTAATGGGTGTGTTTTTTTCTTCTTTTTTTTTTTTGGTTTGGTTCATTGTCGGCTCTGTGGTTAAGTCGATGCGAACGCTTCGCTTCGTAATGCCGGGATGCCGGGTTCAATCCCAGCTGCGGGCAATGCGCCTTGCATTGGTTTCGACATTGGTATCAAGAAAGCCGACCGTCCAGAAAGCATGAAGACAACTAATCACAGACATCAGAAGGAGACAGTCATCATTTTTCGGCCATATTATGAGAAGAGAGAAAATGGAACATGTGGTGACCACTCGAAAGATCTGTGGAAGGAGGGATAGAGGAAGACAACGAGAGAAGATTCTTGACAGTCTTGTTGCATTGCATTGAGGTTTGTCAGCACACGAACTAATAGATTGTGGCAAGGCACCTGATGATGATGATACACTATTTATGTTCGGCCGAATAGTTGGTCCCACTATTCGTATTCGGCCGAATAGTGAAAATCCCTATTTGGTACAGCCCTAGTTTAGACATATTTGTTTAAGCTTCACTGAGTTTCCCTATGTTCTTATGCAATTCAGGTGTTTGAGGTAACAAGCAGACTGATCGATTTGCTGCTGCCACTCCTCTGGGAGGTGATCTATTGTAGGATAAAGCGGACATGGTAAAGGCTCTCTGGAATTAAATGGACAGTGCAATAGAACAGACAAGAGACTCCATAAACTGAAAGACAATTCGGAGGGGGGGGGGGGGGGGGATGTGTGTAGAGGTTTTGAAAGATATGCATCACTCAGGGGAAAACAGGCAGACTTTTATTCATGTTGCAACTAGTAGTATTGTCATGTCAACTCTTCGTTGGCTATTGATGACGGGGATGGAGCACATGTGGGAATGTCACCAGTGCAGTGTATCACTCCTTCATTCATTCAATCATTCATTCATTCATTCCCTGTGTACTTTTTCTCATCGCCAGTAAATTACGTGAGCGAGTAACCCAGCTAGACATGGAAAACACAGCACTGTCCCGAGCTGCCAGTTTGGCTCCAGAGAAGTCACAGAATGAGGAGGATAGTCTGGAAGTAGAGCAGCTGTTGGACAAGATCATGCATTTTCGAAGTCTTTTGAAGGCAGCGTCGGAGAAGTCTGAGAAACCTGTCAATCTGTCCAGTGAGATTTGTGTTTCATTCTTGATGCTGTAGTTACATTTGCTATTGTTAGTTCTTCTATGCTATCCCTCATCCTTTCCAGTGGCGGTATATTAGTATGCACTGCTAAACTTCAGCACCCCTTATTTTAACTCAGTATTATCTTTCAATCCTTAAGAAAGAGAATAAGGGCTTTTGAGCTGAAATGCTATTGAAAGATTTCTCAGAATATCTTGGACAAAGAAAAAGAGAAATACTGACATCTTGAAAGATCTGAACATCAAGGAAGATTGACTAATAAACAGCAGTCTGTCTCAGAAGCTGAAATATTTTGGTCATATCAGCGCCACGACGGATTGAAAAAAAGTATAGCAAAAGGCATGGTACCTGGAAGGAGGGGCAGAAGATGGGTACAGTATATAAGTGACTTCTTGGGTATGAAAGTACATGAGGTGGGAGAACTGGCGAGAGACCAAGTTTCTTTCAGGCAGACCATGATGAGAGTGAGCACTTACAGGCTGATAAACACATGGTGACGAGAGTAATAGTGAAAAATGTCACTGTATTCGGATTCTAAAAGAAAGCATTCTCATCAACATTTCTACCAAATTTTATAGTAGTTGAATGATTTTTGACAGAGTTGTTAAAAATATAGAAAAGTTTTTGGTATTATTGGGACATGATGCACAGTCTAACCCGCATTGTATCATACCTGTTTGTTGTGTCACCTCTTTTAGGACTCACCCTATGAAAAATCTCACCTGGAGTGTTATTATACCCGTATATTACCTTACTAGTATGCTACTCTACCTATATGTTATTTTTTTCCTTTATGCCACACCACCTTAATTATATCTCACCTGTTTGGTACCTTAACTGTCCGGCCTGCAGCAGCTACTGTAAACATTACTGTAGTACCCCACGTCTTTCTGTCTTTCCAGACAGTAGTCTTATGTTATGTTGTGAAGAGGTGTGGGAATTATAGTCTGTGTCCATAGGGAGTGTGACTAGCCTGTTGTGATAGGGAGTGTGACTAGCCTGTTGTGATAGGGAGTGTGACTAGCCTGTTGTGATAGGGAGTGTGACTAGCCTGTTGTGATAGGGAGTGTGACTAGCCTGTTGTGATAGGGAGTGTGACTAGCCTGTTGTGATAGGGAGTGTGACTAGCCTGTTGTGATAGGGAGTGTGACTAGCCTGTTGTCATAGGGAGTGTGACTAGCCTGTTGTGATAGGGAGTGTGACTAGCCTGTTGTGATAGGGAGTGTGGCTAGCCTGTTGTCATAGGGAGTGTGACTAGCCTGTTGTGATAGGGAATGTGACTAGCCTGTTGTGACAGGGAGTGTGACTAGCCTGTTGTGATAGGGAGTGGGACTAGCCTGTTAGGACAGGGAGTGTGACTAGCCTGTTGTGATAGGGAGTGTGACTAGCCTGTTGTGACAGGGAGTGTGGCTAGCCTGTTGTGATAGGGAGTGTGACTAGCCTGTTGTGATAGGTAGTGTGACTAGCCTGTTGTGATAGGTAGTGTGACTAGCCTGTTGTGATAGGGAGTGTGACTAGCCTGTTGTGATAGGGAGTGTGACTAGCCTGTTGTGATAGGGAGTGTGACTAGCCTGTTGTGATAGGGAGTGTGACTAGCCTGTTGTGATAGGGAGTGTGTCTAGCCTGTTGTGATAGGGAGTGTGACTAGCCTGTTGTGACAGGGAGTGTGACTAGCCTGTTGTGATAGAGAGTGTGACTAGCCTGTTGTGACAGGGAATGTGACTAGCCTGTTGTGATAGGGAGTGTGACTAGCCTGTTGTGACAGGGAATGTGACTAGCCTGTTGTGATAGGGAGTGTGACTAGCCTGTTGTGATAGGGAGTGTGACTAGCCTGTTGTGATAGGGAGTGTGACTAGCCTGTTGTGATAGAGAGTGTGACTAGCAAGAGTGGCATGCATTAAGAAAAGACTTCCATAGTTAGAGCATGGGATCTCAGGACCATTGTTGCCATCACATATATTTAGTGTACTTCTTCTGAGACAATCAGCTCTCAACCTTTCTACAGTCATTTTTTTTCCTTTATTCCCATCCCCTTCCTGAACCCCCGTTCCCCATTTCTTTTCCATGCAACACTTTCCATGGAATTTAGTTCTTATGAATCCTCATAACACAAAACTTGGAGTAACATAGAAAAAATGTGCTGCCCATTGCCCATGCAGCATGGTACCTATTTCTTTACTGCCAGCCTTCTTTGCTCTACAGGAAAGGTAACACCAATACTTATGGGGAAAAAAGCATGCTGCAGAAGCTACAGGATCAGAAAAGCAGTGCTCTCTCTGCTTACCAATTTCCTATATCAACTGCTAAAACCCAGACTATATTTCCTTGCAGCAGTTAGTATAACCCTGATTGTAGTTCCCTGTAGCAGTTAGTATAACCCTGATTGTAGTTCCCTGTAGCAGTTAGTATAACCCTGATTGTAGTTCCCTGTAGCAGTTAGTATAACCCTGATTGTAGTTCCCTGTAGCAGTTAGTATAACCCTGATTGAAGTTCCCTGTAGCAGTTAGTATAACCCTGATTGTAGTTCCCTGTAGCAGTTAGTATAACCCTGATTGTAGTTCCCTGTAGCAGTTAGTATAACCCTGATTGTAGTTCCCTGTAGCAGTTAGTATAACCCTGATTGTAGTTCCCTGTAGCAGTTAGTATAACCCTGATTGTAGTTCCCTGTAGCAGTTAGTATAACCCTGATTGTAGTTCCCTGTAGCAGTTAGTATAACCCTGATTGTAGTTCCCTGTAGCAGTTAGTATAACCCTGATTGTAGTTCCCTGTAGCAGTTAGTATAACCCTGATTGTAGTTCCCTGTAGCAACTGGAATAAGCCAGACTTTGGATCATTGTATCAACTTGTATAGCCCTGATAATACTTCACTGTAGTCCATGTATAACCCTGACTGTAGTCCATGTATAACCCTGACTGTAGTCCATGTATAACCCTGACTGTAGTCCATGTATAACCCTGACTGTAGTCCATGTATAACCCTGACTGTAGTCCATGTATAACCCTGACTGTAGTCCATGTATAACCCTGACTGTAGTCCATGTATAACCCTGACTGTAGTCCATGTATAACCCTGACTGTAGTCCATGTATAACCCTGACTGTAGTCCATGTATAACCCTGACTGTAGTCCATGTATAACCCTGACTGTAGTCCATGTATAACCCTGACTGTAGTTACCTGTAGCACCTTGTATAACGCTGACTGTAGTTCTCTGTAGCACTTTGTATAACGCTGACTGTAGTTCTCTGTAGCACTTTGTATAACGCTGACTGTAGTTCTTTGTAGCACCATGTATAATGCTGACTGTAGTTCCCTGTAGCACTTTGTATAATGCTGACTAGTTCTCTGTAGCACTTTGTATAACGCTGACTGTAGTTCCCTGTAGCACTTTGTATAACGCCGACTGTAGTTCTCTGTAGCACCATGTATAACGCTGACTGTAGTTCCCTGTAGCACCATGTATAACCCTGACTGTAGTTCCCTGTAGCACCATGTATAACCCTAACTGTAGTTCCCTATAGCACCATGTATAACCCTGACTGTAGTTCTCTGTAGCACTTTGTATAACGCTGACTGTAGTACTCTGTAGCACTTTGTATAACGCTGACTGTAGTTTCCTGTAGCACCTTGTGTAACCCTGACTAGTTCTCTGTAGCACTTTGTATAACACTGACTGTAGTTCCCTGTAGCACCTTATATAACCCTGACTAGTTCTCTGTAGCACTTTGTATAACACTGACTGTAGTTCCCTGTAGCACCTTATATAACCCTGACTAGTTCTCTGTAGCACTTTGTATAACACTGACTGTAGTTCCCTGTTGTATTCAGCTGCTAAATCTCTGGTTATGTTTCAGGCATATTTGTGGAGGACATGAACAAAGCAGATGAGGAGTCACCTGTCTGCAAGCAGTACAAGGAGGAGTTGGAACAGCTGAAGGAGGAGTTTGAGAGGTACAAGCTGCGAGCCCAGTCTGTCCTCAAGAATAAGAACAAGGTATAAGGCTGTTATGACTAGATTGTCTTTCCACTGAAACCCACAGGGGCATAAAAATAAAGAAAGACGAAAAAACGTGCAATAAAAAAGATTTGGAGGGCGTAGGGAGAGTTGCATGCAATAGCACAGGATAGAATGACTTTGCTAAGGGCCTATGCTCCATTGGGGTTTAGAAAGGCAGAGGAAGATAAGGCTGTTAGCAACAGCATCACAGAGCAGGGTTAGACTTATCCTGGCAGTCTTAGAGATTGCTGAAGGTTGCTCAGCCTTGTAGATGTGGAGAACAAGGGGAGACTCACATTATACATACATATATATATATATATATGTATACGGGAGCCCAGTCGATAGGAGGCTCGCTTTCAAATCCAGCTGCGACTCGCTGCAGCTATGGTTGGTGTTCGAAACCGGGCGGTTCAAAGGTTTCACCCATCCTCTAGGAAATGGGAACCAGAGTGAACACTCTGGGGTGAATGGAGGAACGTTGCTGTAGCTACAGAGTTACGTGCAGACGGTGACACAGGCGGACAGTTTCTTATCAGCTGTACATACTGATGGCAGAGCACTTATGGTTTATAACAGTGTGCAATGACGCTGGTTTACATCTCCCGACTTTACCTTTTTATATACGTATATCTTTCTATATTTTTTTTAATCTTTAGCTGTATATTCAGTGTTAGTCAACAGATCTTCTTCTGCAGAAGTGTCATGCAGTCCATAAGTGCTGTGATCACTTACTCAGCTTAGTGTGTGCAAACGAATAAGAGAGAATATGAATGAGTGACATTTAATTATATTTTATTTTGATTTTCTTAGATGCTCTCATATTTAATGTTGGTTTCTCAGATTTTTCCTGATACTCTCAGACTGTTTCTGTTGATATTTCCAGATCGTTTTGATGATATTTTCAGATTGTTTTGATGATATTTTCAGATTGTTTTTGTAATATTTTCAGGATGGTGGAACCTCCAGAGAAAGTGAAATCCTGAAAGGACAAGTTGCAGATCTGCGGGATAAATTGCGCATGGCCAACTTCCATCATCAGGAAGAGATTTCAGAATTTCAAGCCAAAGTGGATAATCTGAGCAAAGCCCTTCTGGCACAGGAAGAGAAGTTCAAACAGGAAATTGCATGTGTGAAGTCTGGCCACCAAAAAGAAATTAATGAGCTGGAAGTGGAATTTAAAAAACAGAGGGACAGAACGGTGGCCATGCTGGCAGAAAAGGACGCAGAGATTCAGAAGTTGAAGACTGTGGCAGATCATAATGTGGAACCTGATATCTTCCGACACTGGGGGCAAGAGTCAGTTGATAGGTTTGTTGAGGAAGGAGCCGATAGAAGTTGTTCTCAGGAAGAGTTGGAGGCTGTGAATAAACTGTTAGAACTTCCCAAAGGTGTTCAGAATGAGGCTGCATTCATACACTTTGCTGAAGAACGGGGTCGGTTGAAAGTGGATATTTTGACGCTGAGAAAGCAGAAGCGGCAGTTAGAGACTGCTCTGAGAGATCTGCAGTTGTCTGCGAGTCAGAAGGAGGAGAAGCTGCGGGATGAAGTCAATGCTCTTACTGAGCAACTTGCTGATATTGAGAGACATTCGATGAGGGAGGGAGCAAATCTGGAATACCTGAAGAATGTGCTTCTTAAATTTCTGACTTCCGTGGATTCTTTGGCCAAGCAGAAAATGCTGAAAGCTCTGATGACAATATTACAATTCAGCCCTCAGGAGAAGGAGTTGGTGAGACAGGCACAGGCTAGAGGCTGGTGGCCTACTTAAGAACTTGTTTATCTGGTACAGTTTTCCATGTGGGTTCCGGAGCTCCATTGTGGGGAAACATTAAGAATAGACCCAAGGTGCTTTATTTTTTTATATCCTACCCAAAACAGGGGAAATCCACAAGTCACGGGATGTTCTAATATTTCAGGGGGTGGTAAATAGGCTGCATGCAGTCATGGGACCTAGGCTGCATGCAGTCGTGGGACCTAGGCTGCACTCTCTGGTGGGACGTGGGTGGGTTGGGGTTAGGGCCAGTTTTAGATTTTTTGGGTTAGTTAAAAGAATCAGAAAGCCGGTAAACCCAGTCTTACCACTCTCTCAAATGTTGGACTGTCCTGTGATGTCATCTGTGGTAGGATATTGATAAAGAACCAACCCAATAACCCCTAACAAGCATGTAATAAAAGACAACCAATTAGGGTGTTTCCTTAAAAGTCGGAGTGCTTCTGACTGAGAGTCAAGGAAACAGTAGTCTGCAAACAAATAAGCCAGATCTGTAAAACGAATGTGCACACAAAACTCAGAATGCAAACAAGAAGAAGAAGATCTGGTACAGTCTCACTAGACTACAAAGGATCTGGTTTGTTTGGTATTTACTCTCATCACTTTCTTCTTCATGGAAATTTAAATATTGCGGTCACAAACAATGCATTGAACAATTTATTGCCTGCGTATTTGCTGTATCTCCTCAGGGTCGTTATCACAGAGTTACATCAACATATAGTGAAGCACAGTAACTGCATTTTCATCTTATGTTTTGTGCTTGGTTTAGCTTTAGTAATGCACTCAGTAAGAAACAGGAAAAATATGCCAAGTAATAAATTGTAAGCAAAATATGACAAGCAATAAATTGTAAGCAAAATATGACAAGCAATAAATTGTAAGGAAAAATATGACAAGCCATTAATTGTAAGCAAATTATGACAAGCAATAAATTGTAAGCAAAATATGACAAGCAATAAATTGTAAGCAAAATATGACAAGCAATAAATTGTAAGCAAAATATGACAAGCAATAAATTGTAAGGAAAAATATGACAAGCCATTAATTGTAAGCAAATTATGACAAGCAATAAATTGTAAGCAAAATATGACAAGCCATTATAATAAATTGTAAGCAAAATATGACAAGCCATTAATTGTATGCAAAATATGACAAGCAATAAATTGTAAGCAAAATATGGCAAGCAATAAATTGTGAGCAAAATATGACAAGCCATTAAAAGTAAGCAAAATATGACAAGCAATAAATTGTGCAGTGTATTTGTGTCCCTTATATTTATACTCACAAGCGGAAACATCTTTTTGAATTCATGGAAACATTGATTGCATGCACAACTGTAATAGCTCCCATGTCTTACCTCATCATCATGTGCCTTGTCGGAGGGCATAGACCTTCAAGCATTTTCAGATCTCATTCCTTGATGTTCCTGATTGGTTAATTTGATGTTCCTCCGTGATATTTTAGGCCATCCAGCATCATTTCACTTGGTCTGCCTCTGTTATTGCTGATTTTTCACATCATTCTCCAGTGATTGTCTTTTGGTGTTCTTCGTCGGTTCTGTTAATGATATTATTTCATGCTAATATTTTAGACCACTCATTATTTCTTCTGTGACCATTTGAACAAAAAAAGTTTGTTCGTTTGTTCATTCTGTACTTCTGCCTTTTCTACTGTTCATTGTTATCGTATCATTCTCCAACCCCTTTCTTCTCATCACATGATCAAAAAACACTGTTTTTCAGTTTCTTATAGTTGCATTAATTATTCTACTCTCAGTAGCTTTAGTTAGGCAGTTCTGGTTTAGAAGTATATTCATAATTTTTCTCAGAAACTACACTGCTGTTAATCTGTTTGCTAATTCTAAAATTTACTGTCATGCAGCAGATTGGATTTAATGTCCTTCAGCACTTTCAGTGTGACATTCAGTCTTCTTCTCCTCCTCCTTCTTCTTCTCTTCCTTTTCCTCCTCCTCCTGCTTCTTCTTCTTCTTCTGTCAGAAAAACTTATATCAGCTGGCCGCAGTCTTGGTGAAAGCTGTCATGCCATCCAAATCTCTCTGCAGGCCATTCAGCTTTGTCTTGATTGAGGCTGAACAGGCAGATTGCTTCTGTCAGCAGCATCCGGCTAATAAAAGTGACTTATTACATAAGATATTCCTTAATTGAATTGCAGCTTGGTTTGTCCTGATCTTCTCTGCTGTGCATCTGCCATCTGCTGATACAGTTTTCCCTCAGATAATTCAGTTTTTTAACTCGATGAAACTTTTTTCTGGGTCCAAAAGAGTGAAAACCAAGCAAAACTGCCCCCAAGATGTCCAAAACATTGAAAACCAAGCAAATCTGCCCCCTGTGATGTCCAAAACATTGAAAACCAAGCAAATCTGCCCCCTATGATGTCCAAAACATTGAAAACCAAGCAAATCTGCCCCCTATTATGTCCAAAACATTGAAAACCAAGCAAATCTGCCCCCTGTGATGTCCAAAACATTGAAAACCAAGCAAATCTGCCCCCTGTGATGTCCAAAACATTGAAAACCAAGCAAATCTGCCCCCTATGATGTCCAAAACATAGAAAACCAAGCAAATCTGCCCCCTATGATGTCCAAAACATTGAAAACCAAGCAAATCTGCCCCCTGTGATGTCCAAAACATTGAAAACCAAGCAAATCTGCCCCCTGTGATGTCCAAAACATAGAAAACCAAGCAAATCTGCCCCCTGTGATGTCCAAAACATAGAAAACCAAGCAAATCTGCCCCCTGTGATGTCCAAAACATAGAAAACCAAGCAAATCTGCCCCCAAGATGTATCATATGTATATCTGCTGGGTTTAGGGTCTTTCATTTAGTTATTTGTACTGTTTTTTTAATAACTGTTAATTAATGTATGATTTGTCTCTTGAATGGGAAATCCAATATGTCAAGGGTAGTTGAATGAATGCATCAAGAATTGACATCACTGCACTCGAAACATCCTCATATGTGTTCCTTCTCCTTCCTCAGTAGCCAACAAAGTCTCATGGAGTCTTCCTTCCTAGAACCTCTGCTCACCCGCGTTGAATTAGTCTTTCACTGAATGGATTCTCTGTCCATTTAGTCCTAGTGAGCCTTCACCACGTCCATTTTATCAAAAAGTAGCTGGTGCTTTATTAATATCCTACCCCAAACAGGGGGAAATCCGCAGGTCACAGGACAGTCAAATATTTGAGGGGGTGGTAGATAGACTGCATGCACTTGTGGGACCTAGGCTGCACTCTCTCTTGGGATGTAGGTGGGTAAAGGTTGGCGCCGATTCTATATGTTTTGGGATCATTAAAAGCATCAGAAAGCCGGGAAACCCAGTCTAACCACCCTCTAAAATCTTGGACTGTCCTGTGATGTCATCTAGGGTAGGATATTAATAAAACAGCAAGTAACTCACCGCCCAGATGAGGGTCAGCAGCTAATCTGTTAGTCTGCTCATTACCCTGTACACGCGGATGTCCTGGACAGAAAATCCACGATATGTTTCTGATCTGGATCTGACTATTATCAAGGGATGCAAGCATGTCTACATGTAGGACACCAGTTTTAATGTTCTGAAACATGCTACTGTGGGTTTGTTGGAATTACATGTCGGGCTGTGCTGCTCTCAAGCCATCAAGGGGTCATTAAGTAAATTCTACTTCTTTTGTTTGCTTGAAACAGATTATCTATATCTGCAGTGTCGTCTCTAGTATCAGCTTGACTGTCTTTTGTAATTCACTTAGCAACCCGTAAAATTTGACTTCTTCTTTAGGTCCTCTTTTATCGCTTCGAGTATCGAGGGAGATATAAGATCCTGCTTCATGTTCTTCTGGCTGCTTCGACCATAGACATACCGTGGTACTGTAGAGTTTATCTGATGTTATCTTCTCATCTTGATCTTGGTAAATGTTTAATCAGTCTGTTTATATCTCATTGTACTTGTTGTAGTGGTATTAAATCCATTGCCGGCTTGCTAGGCCTGTCACAACTTCATCAGAGCCCCGTTGGCCAGGACGTTTCGGGGTGACCCAGGATGGCCTTCATGGCCACCATAGCGGTCCCATGGCACAAGGCCACACCATGCTTCGCCCAATCCTAGCAATCCCTTACTTTGTCCTCCTGTTACCGCTACTCACGATGAGGACGTGGGGTTGGACTTTGAGAGGCAAGAAGTTTGGCTTCAACCGGTGTTTCTCTTGGCCAGGAGTTTTGCCTTGATATCTTGTATTTGGGATAGTCTTAGAGGATGTGATCTGTTGTCTCAGGTACCAGTCCACATGTTCACATGGCTGATTCACCAATTGTAAATTGTGTGTACCTGTGGCTGCGAAGTTGATTTTATGGCGTAGAATAATGACTTCTTTTGGTCTGTCCATAATGTGGTAATTGTCTTGGTGGCTTCCTGATTAATCTGATAATTCTCTTCTTCAGTTGGTAAGAGACTCATAAGTCAAGTTGTTCTTCATTTGCAATTTCCTTGGCTAGTTTTTGAGCTCTCTCATTTCCGGTAACTCCACAGTGGGATGTTATCCATTGCATAGTTACCTCACACTGTTGCCCGGTTTGAAGAGTAGTGTCCGTATACCAGATAATTTTCCATATTTGGATGCCTGAAGTACCGCTGTATAAGTAAATTTATTTTGTATTCTGATTGTTACTGAAAGTTGGTCAGTGGTACCTGGTCAGATCACAATTGATTATTTCAACGATCTTTACCAGCTCCAGTGGTCTTGAGATTTGTTGAGATTAGTGGCTTGAGAGCAGCTGCCCAAACTTTAAGAATGCTCAGCTCTCATGTAGGAGACCCAGCTTCAAATCCTTAGTAAGCTTGTGGATTTCTTTTATGTCGGGGACAGAAATATTGCCCTAACCTGCACAGTCATTGGCGACAGAACTAGCTTTGATGCCCTAAATCCTCAGGCTCGAAGACATCTCTTGTCTACAGCACAGAAGTGGTAGAATACAGGCAGTAATGTCAGTTTTTGAAAGCGGCTT